CCATTCTGGATTCCCCTCCCGTGACTCAGCGCGCCTGTCTCCCCTGCAGCAACAGTGCCAGCCCACCCCTCAGATTCGTCCTCTTTCCCCCACACCCCTACACCACCACGGCCAAAAGGAAAATAGGCCGCCTTTTCTCTATGATGAGGAAACCAATCTGCATTAAAGTATGTTTCATCTGTTTCCCTGAAAACGGACACTTCACGAGAGCCGGTTGCTTATAAGAGAAGAATAGTGATCCCATGTGAGACCCCTCCTGGCAATTTCCTTTTTTTTTTTTTTTTCTTTGGAGTTGGAGTCTCACTCTGTCACCAGGCTGGAGTGCAGGGGCACACTCACGGCCACCCCAGCGTTGACCTGCTGGGCTCCAGTGATCCTTCCACCTCAGCCTTCCAAGTAACCGGAACTACAGGCGCGTACCCCATGTTGGAGTGAGAGGCATCCCAGCTTGCCCAGGCTTCAGTGTTCCCCGTGGGGAATCCCACTGCGATGTTTTGAAGCAGAGAGGCCTTCCTCAGTCCTTCAAATTCCTCCCTGGCCACTGAAACCCAGAAAAAAGGGTGGCCAGAGAGGCCAGGCCTCTGGGCCAAACCTGTGTAGGGGGCAAGAGGTCGGGGTGGGAGTGCAATTGACGCACCCTGACCTCGGTAGAAAGGCCCAAGGGCTCAGTCGCCCTTGTCCGACAGGTGAACATCCTGTTAAGCCGGCCACTTTCAACCACTCAGATTAGATAGCCCATCACACCGTCAAGTGACAGATCCCACTCAATCCTCACACTACGTCCATTTTAAAGACGAGGAAACGAGACTGAGAAGATGCACCTGCCCTAAGAACCCTCAGTGGAGAGGAGGAGCAGCGAACACAGGCTTCCTGGCCCCAGCGATGGCTCTTTCTGTGCCTCTGTCACCTGCTGGAGGCAGAGTCCCCAGATCCGGGGGACGAAAAGCAGCCCATGAGCGCAGGTGGATGGGCCTTGCTGGAACACGAGCTGATTCCAGAGAGACAGACTGAAATGGTCAAGAGGGTTTCCTGGAGGAGGTGACAGGGACGGCCCGGGGCCACCGACACAGCCTGCACTTCTCTACCTGGGAGGGCTCCCCTGGAGTAGGAGGGGTCTCAGATCGGGCTTAAGTAGGGGGAGGAGGCTTTTCCAGCATGCGGGTTTGGTTCCCTGAGCCCAGAACAGGAGCTCTGTGCCAGGCACCAAGGCAAGGTTATGTACCGCTTACAAACCCATCTCAGGCGGGGAGCCCACAGCAGAACTGAGTGAAAACGGGTCCTGGTTAGGCATGGTGGCTCACACCTGCAATCCCAGCATGGTGGGAGACCGAAGTAGGAGGGTTGTTTGAGTCCAGGAGTTCAAGACCAGCCTGGCCAGCATAGTGAGACCTTGTCTCTACAAAAAAACCAAAAAACGAGCTGAGTGTGGCCATGCAGGCCTGCGGAAGGATTGCCGGGGACCAGGAGGTTGAGCCATGATGGTCGTGATCGTGCCACAGCACTCCAGCCTGGGCGACAGAGTGAGACCTCCACTCAAAAATAAAAATAACAATAAAACTAAATAAATGAAACAGACCCTGGAGTCAAGATCATAACCTGCTCCAGAGCACCACATCTTCTCCCTAGGGTCCCCCTCCCTGGAGATTCCACTGAAGCCCAGAGCCATAGAGTGGAAACGGTGTCACTATTTCTTCTCTCAGAATCTTCCTCTGGTCACTTCCACCCCTCCATTACCCCAGAGCCATCTCGGGGAGCATCTAGATCGTCTCTGCTGTGACTGCCAAGTAGGAGAAATGCACTTAAATAAACACTGGAGCTCCAGGGTCTGAGGCCAAGGCTACCTGGCTCCTGAGGGCAGAAGGCCTGAGCCTTCAGCTTCCTGAAAGGGAAGTCTCCCAGACCCTCTCCGGCTGCAGGGTGGGAGCCCCACAGCCAGGGTTCAGAACGGCTCCTCCATTTGCCGAGCCCTGGGGATGACTCTGGCCCATCCGCCGCCGGCCTGGTCCCTCTGGCCAGGGCCCCTGCCTCCTCTCTCCTTCTCGCGACCGTCTGAGCAAAGCACCAGCTCCCTCTCGACCCTTCCCTGCTGCACAAGACAACACGAGCGCCTCCCTGCCTGCTGAATGGAGTTGAACTCCCCATCAGACTTCAAGGCCAACACTGCGGCCTCATCCACTCCCACTAAGCTGCAGTCCAGTGCTTCTCAAAGTCCAGTGCCAGACCAGAGGCAGCTGGGACGCTGGGCCACACCGCGAGGCCCCATCTCTACATAACATTTTTTTTTTTTTTTGAGTTGGAGTCTCACTCTGTTGCCCAGACTGGAGTGCAGTGGCCGCTCCCGGCCACCACAGCCTCGACCTGCTGGGCTCCGGTGATCCTTTCGCCTCAGCCTTCCAAGTAGCTGAAACTATAGGTGCATGCTACCATGGTCGGCTAATTTTTGATTTATTGTAGAGTCGAGGTCTCGCCAAGTTGCCCAGACGGGTCTCGAATCCGCGGGCTCAGGCAATCCACTCACCTCAGCCTCCCAAAGGCGCGGGATTACAGGCTGAGCCACCGAGCCCGGCTTCTACATAACATTTTTTAAAAATTAGCTGGGCATGGTGGCACATGCCTGCAGTCCAGAGAGAGAGAGAGAGAGAGAGAGAAAAGAAAGAAAGGAAAGTTTGGATACCCTCCAGATCTTCTGAGTCAGAACTCTAGGGGCAGGGCCCAGCAATCTGTTTGTCACAGCCCTCTGGGGTCCTGATGCACTCTGGAACTTGGGAACCCTTACTCCAGTGAATCTCACTGTCCCCCTACAGGGAGCACCCTCTCCTGTCCTCTCTGCCCAAGCAAAGTCCTTCCCCAAGGTTCCCCACACGCCTCTGCTCGTGTAAATGTCTTCTTCAGTATCGCCATGCGGCCCCCGTTTCATGTTGACAGAGACCCCAGTGAGCACAGGAAACAGAGATGAGCCCTTGAGGGGCTCACAGAGGGGTGGGGGGTGGCAGTGCCCTGAAGTCACGCTGCCACAGGTTTTCCAGCAGAGCCAGGGCAGGTGGCAAAGGTGGCCTAAGGGAGAGGCCATGAGGGAGGAGACACTCACAGCCGTGGCCCGTGCCAGCTGCCTGAGCTCCACGCAGAGCCCAGTCCAGCGCTGGGCACGCAGAGGCCACTTCACCGGTCCCTGTGGATCGGTGGGGTCATGACCCTAGGAGCCCTACAGCCTGGACCTCATGCGAGTGTGTCTGGGGTTGCCAAACTTCGCTCCGGGCCCAACTTGAATCAGGCTCCTCGCAGCCCTTTCTAGACTAGGTTCTGGCGTGGGGCCCTGCCCTTGGTCCACTTCTGCTGGGTCAGTTTAGCAAAACCCCCACCCTTGAGATCTGATCACCCTGACCTGCCTGTCGGTTGGTTGACCGGAGTCCCCTCCCCTCCCCCGGTGGTTCCCCTTAGTGGTTCTCCTCACCGACCACCCCCTGCTCCTTGGCTCTAAATCTCCCTTTTCCTTGTGCTTTTCAGAGTTGAGCCCAGTCTCTCTCCCCTACTGTGAAACCCCCTGCCGCCGTCCCTCCTGAATAAACTCTTCCCCACTTGCTTTGACAAGTGTCACCAACATGTTCTCGTTAACAGTGTGAGCCTGTCCGTCACCATCTCAACTCCCCACAGCCAGACCCCACCTTGGCTGGTTTTGAGACATCCTCCCCACACACATCTGGTAAGTTCTTAGCGTGTGGAGGTCACCAAGCCCTAACTCTCCACCCCCACTCCCAGCCTTGGCAAGTGTCCTCTCTCCTCAGTATGGAGAAAGGTTCCTTCCACCCGAGAGGCCCAAAATCCAGCTCCTCCTTTTGTGATCTGTCAGGCCTCGGGAGGATTACCCAGCCTCCTGGGGACTTGATCCTTCATCTGTAAAATGGGGTGAAAACACATCCCCGAGCTGTTGTGGGGAGCAGAGACAGCATGGAGGCAGTGCCAGCACTCTTCCGGAAAACAGGAGGTGCCCCACGTAGGTTAGACATGCCAAATTCCTTGGACCATCAAGAAAACAGCAGCCAGGCACAATCGCTCAAGTCTGTCATCCCAGCACTTTGTGAGGCCGGGGTGAGAGGACTGCCTGAGTCCACGGGTTTGAGACCAGCCTGGGCAACTTGGTGAGGCCTCATCTCTATAATAGATTTTTTAAAAATTAACCGGATCTGGTGGCACGTGTCTGTAGTTCCAGCTACTTGGAAGGCTGAGACAGAAGGATCGCCGGAGCCCAGCAGGTCGACGCTGGGGTGGCTGTGAGTGTGTCACTGCACTCCAGCCTGGGAGTGAGACTCCAACTCAAAAAAGAAAGAAAGAAAGAAAACAGAGCCGGGCTCGGTGGCTCAGCCTGTAATTCCGTGCCTTTGGGAGGCTGAGGTGAGTGGATGGCCTGAGCCCGCGGGTTCGAGACCCACCTGGGCAACTTGGCGAGACCTCATCTCTACAATAAATCAAAAACCAGCCAGGCGTGGTAGCGCGCACCTGTAGTTCCAGCTACTCAGAAGGCTGAGCAGAAGGATCGCCGGAGCCCAGTAGGTCGAGGCTGCGGTGGCCGGGAGCGGCCACTGCACTCCAGTCTGGGCGACAGAGTGAGACTCCGACTCAAAAAAAAAACAAAACAAAAGAAAGAAAGAAAGAAAACAGCCAAGAGCCTTCCTTTTTGCACGGAACCTGCACGCTGCAACGCACCTTCTAGCTCATCATTGTTCCTCAAGCTTCAGAGCTCCCAGAGCACCCCTTCGACCCAGAGCCACGGACACAGCCACCAAAGATGCAGAGCGACTCTCTCCACCCCGCCCGGCTCCCGTGGGGCGCGACCCGGGAAAGCCAAGGGAAGCCACGCACCACGGAAAGGCCGGTCCCTCCATGTCCTCAGCAACCACCGTTGAGTTCAGGCTCTGTCGCCAGAGTGGCAGCCCCCACACTGGGGCTCAGCTCAGCCCAGCCGGCCCCTCTCTGAGCTCCACACCCTGTGGCCCGGGACTCACCAAAAAACGAGAAGGAGCGTCCCTGGCAGTCGCCTGCCAGGAGGTAGCTGCAGCGTCCTGCAAAGCTGTACATGCTGCCATCAAAGGTGTTGACGAAGTCAGCTCCGAAGAGGCTGCATCGGGCCATTGGCGACTTGCCGTGTGTCCCTTCGGTGCAAAGGACTCCTAGAGGAAGAGGCCACAGGTGAGCACCCCTGAGACCTCCAGCCCAAACCTCTCTGGATGCTTCTGGTAGAAATTGGGCTGTACTTTCCGTCCTTAAAAACACTCCAGCTGACCGGGCTCGGTGGCTCAGCCTATCATCCTGCGCCTTTGGGAGGCTGAGGTGAGTGGATTGCCTGAGCCCGCGGGTTCGAGACCCGCCTGGGCAACTTGGCAAGACCTCATCTCTACAATAAATCAAAAGATCAGCCAGGCATGGTAGCACGTGCCTGTAATTCCGGCTACTCGGAAGGCTGAGACGAAAGGATCGCAGGAGCCCAGCAGGTCGAGACTGCGGTGGCCGGGAGTGGCCACTGTACTCCAGTCTGGGCGACTGAGTGAGACTCCAACTCAAAAAAAAAAAAAAAAAAAAAACCACTCCAGCTGTTCCTTTCAGCTCCCCGACTCAACCCAGGACTTATAACAACAATGAAGGACTTGTTTTTCAGGAAATCGATTCGTTTGAATGGCATTTATTTACTGATTTAAGATGTAATCATGCTCATTATTAAAAAGTGTGGAGAATACGGGAGAAAGCACAGAGAAACTAGGTAACTAGAGTTAACATTTCAGTGTTGACTTTTTTATTCTATTCTTTGGCTTATAGAGTTGTGGGTTTTTTACACATTTGGACCATCCCGTGTTTTATAGCATAACCTCCGTTTATCTTTCAGTATGTTGCAAAGAATGTGTCATGCCACTGTATATACTTCCAACTTGGGCTTTTGAGTGGCTACACTGTATTTTGCATGTAAATGTACATAGCATAGCCCCTTATGGTTAGATTCTTAGCATTTTACATATTTTGCAATATTATAAATGGATTGCAATGAACGTCCTTGTACATAAATCTGCTAGTATATCTTGACCATATTAAGTTTGTTTGTTTTTAATTTCTGAGAAAAAGTCTCCCTCTGTCGCCCAAGTCGGAGTAAGGTGGTACAATCATAGCTTATGGCAGCCTGGACTCCCTGGACTCAAGCAATCCTCCCACCTCAGCCTCCTGGGTAGCTGGGATTACCGTGCTTGGCTAATTTTTTAAAATTTATTTTTATTTTTATACAGACGATGTCTCACTATGTTGCTCTGGCTGGTCTTGATCCTCCTGCCCTTGGCCTCCCAAATTGCGAGGGTTACTGGCATGAACCACCATGCTCAGCCCAGATTAAATCTGAAACAGATCTGACTGCGTGCCCAGCATGTAGAATCGATGAAGTGTTAACTCCTCCCGTCATGTGCTAACTCCCTCACTGTGTGTGTGTGTGTGTGTGTGTGTGTGTGTGTGTGTGTGTGTGTGTTGGCAGGTGGTGGGAACCACAGTAGAAGCGAGCTGAGCGGTCTAGGTCCCATGATAAAGGACTCGCCAGGGAGGCAGAGAGTGTGACAAATGTATATTTTTCCCCAGACGAACCTGTGGGCAGCACTCTGCCTCTCTGGGGTCCAAGTGGAGACAGTCAAGGTCAAAAGGCCCTCTGTGTCATCCACAGAGTCAGAATCTCAGCATGGGGAGAAGGGCCGTGTGGTGCAGGGTGCCGCCCGGGGACCCAGGAGAACTGACTTCTGGTCTTGGCTCTGTGTGACTGTGGAGGAGTCATTTCTCCTCTCTGACCCTTCCGAACTCCCCAGGGGCAGGAGGCAGTGCAGGCCCCTGGTCCCTGGGGAATACCAGCCACAGGCCCGGCTCTGCCGAGCCTTCACAGCAGACAGCCAGCACGAGATTAACATGCGGCTGGGCACCCAGGGGAGCTCCAGCCACCCCGTGATCCTGGGAGGCTGTCCCTCCAAATGGCCCTGAGCAGGAGTGAGAGACGGAAGCCCTTTGGCACCTACCTGGCAGGGCGAGGGCCAGGGCAAGCATCATCCTCACAAACCCGGCGGAAGCCATCTGCAGAGAAGCAAGAGAAGAGAGCTGGTTAGGACCACCCAGGTAGGGGCTGCTGGCGGGCGGAAGGAGGAAAACATTCGTTTAAAGCAAGAGAAAAGACTTATCCTCACAGCCCCGCTTTCCCTTTTGAACATGGGCTTCCGGGCCCCCAAAATGCCTCTGGTCAGAGCCAGGCCCAGGAGTAACAATCGCTGTGAGCCAGGACCCTTGGGCTCTCCCCCAGGCCGGGGCGAGGCAGAGGAGGGAGGCTCCGCCTTCTCCTGGCCTCTCTTCAGGCCAGCCACCTCTCTGAGGACTCTAGTCCTCCCGCGCTTAGCGGCAAACCATCCTACACGTACATTCCCACCACTCAGACTTCGAGAACCCTCAGGAACCCCCGATGTGATTGTTTGCTCGTCAGTTTTGCCTGTACCCCAAGAGCCTCCAGGCAGGGTCAGGATTTTTTTGGAATTTCTTGTTTGTTTTTTGAGTTGGAATCTTACTCTGTTGCCCAGGCTGGAGTGCAGTGGCACCATCAAGGTTCACCACAGCCTTGACTTCTCGGGTTCAAGTGATCCTTCCGCCTGTAGCTGGGATGGCACTGCAGGCACACATCGTCACTCCCGGCTAATTTTTTTTTTTTTTTCTGGTAGAGACGAGGTCTCACTAGGTTGCCTAGGATTGTTTCGAACTCCTGGACTCAAGCAGTCCTCTCACCTCGGCCTCTCGAAGGGCTGGGATTACAGGCATGAGCCCCTCACGGCGCTCGGCCCCGTGTGCTGAGCTGATCTGATACACGGACAGGAGTCCGGCAGCCCTGGGCCCGGGCAAGTTTCCCCACTGTGCGACCCCCACCCCAGAGAGGGACAATTGATGCTGGCAGGCAGAGCAGTCCCTGCCACAGCCCCTCTCCTCTGGCAAAGGTTGTTCGATGACGTGCAGAAGCTGTCCCCGGAGAGTCACTGGCGGTGACTCCTTTCCTACCTAAGGCCCCATGCAGCCAAAAAAGGGGAGATCAACCCCATCTCTTACACATCTGTGGACAGAACACCTTGACATGGGACGTGGCCAAGTCTCGGTCTCCTGGCAGGTGTCCCCTCCCCCTCCCAACACACAGGTGCACAAGGCTGCACCCAGAAGGTGCCCAGAGACGAGGGCACAGCTCGTTCCAAGCCCAGATGAAGAGCCACCAAGCAGCGGGACCCACGGTGTGAGGAAGCAGCCGCAGGGCCCCCCCGCGCCCGAGGCAAGCAGAGGAGACGGCGTGAGGATCGCCTCTGGCCTTGAACCTCCCCCCGCCCAAAGGCCTCTGGGTTCAGGATAGCGTCCCCCAGCTCCCCAGGGTGGGGATCAGTTCTGCATCCTCCTCCCCCCGCCGAGCCACTGTCCTTCGAAAAGCTCATACCGGGGACTGGGCTCGGTCACTCAGCCTGTCATCCCAGCACCTTGGGAGGCCGAGGCGCGTGGATGGCCTGAGCCCGCGGGTTCGAGACCAACCCGGGCAACTTGGTGAGCCCCTGTCTCTACAATAAAATTTAAAAATAGCACATGCCTGTCGTTCTGGCTACTTGGAAGGCTGAGGCGGAAGGATCGCAGGAGCCCGGCAGGTCGACGTTGGGGTGGCCGTGAGTGTGCCCCTGCACCCCAGCCTGGGTGATGGAGTGAGACTCCAACTCAAGGGAAAAAAGAAAAGAAAAGCTCATACCTTCCCCTGCGAATGGGGCTGTGGTGTCTCCAAGGTCCCTTGCGAAACTCAGTTGCTGCCGATGGTGCCGCCACCACTAGGCCATGCTCCCGGCAGCTGCAGCGGCCGACCCAGGTCCCCTCCAGCTCTGGAAGGTCTTGCCGTGAAGTCGCCCAGGGCGGTGGCGTCCCCAGAGCTGGGGGAGATAAAGCCCCCGTTGTGACGTCCACCAATACCCTCCCTTCCCGGCCACAATAGCTGTGAGCTGCCACAACAGGGGGTGGCCTCCTTTTAATGACCAGAAGGAAACAATGAAAGGAAATGGTATTAGAAATACCGCCACGCTGATAAGGCTTTGAAACGTGTGGAGAGACCTCCTGGCAGTCGCCTTAACGAACTGCCCACCCTCCCCAAACCCCCCACACTTGGTCTCTGGTTCCCCCGAGTACCCCGCACAGAGAGGGGATGACCCAGATTGCTGGTGGTCCCAGGGCAGGCTGATCCAGGCCAGGGAGGAACCAGACTAGGTCAACACAGCTTTCTGATCCGGCGTCTAGGGCTGGGCTCCAGGGAAGATGGAAAAACACCTCAACCTGAGCCAATGTAGCCGCTGTGTTTGCAGGAAGGAGAACACAAGCACTTCCTGTCCATCCTGCGTGTGCGTGATCCGGTCCTGGGCCCTGACAAACAGTCCATCTGGGGCCCGGCCAGGGTTTAGTGGCAGGTAAAAGGCGAAGGACTTTGCTCACAAGCCCAGGCCTTTGCGCAACGATGGGGAGGAGTTGATTCTAATATTTCTATTATTATTAGATTCTAATAATTCTAACTTGTAAGGATCCTTCCACCCCATGGTGGTCCCCTGACTCCTCCCCAGCATCACACACACACACACACACACACACACCCCAACCCTTCTTCCAGCCTCCCATTCTCAAAAGCCTCCTTCTCAAATCATCTGCTAAACTGACCCCTGCTGAAAGAGGTAGCTGACAAAAAGGGCAGGGCAGGGAGGTGGCTCTCAGCGTAAATTCCAGGCAGCAAGACAAGTTCAAATGTCTTCTCCGCGATACCACTTGCCCTCCGACCTTGAGGAACCGTGATGTCCCCAGCCTCCTACCTGCCCCCACAGGCCAACCCTTCACCACCAGGAAAGGAAGACGAACTCTGCCAAGGAAGAAAAATGGCACAAGGGGCAGTCAGAAAGGACATATGAGTTTTCCTTTTTTTTTTTTTTTTTTTTTTTTTTTGAGTCAAAGAGTCTCACTCTGTTGCCCAGGCTGAGGTGTAGTGGCACACTCATGGCCACCCCAGCCTTGACCTCCTGGACTCAGGTGATCCTTCCACTCCAGCCTTCCAAGTATCTGGAACCACAGGCACGTGCTACCATGACCAGCTAATTTTTTGATGTATGGTAGAGACAAGGTCTCACCAAGTTGCCCAGGCTGGTCTCGAACCCGTGGGCTCAGGCAAATCGCCTCAGCCTCCCAAAGTGCTAGGATTACAGACGTGAGCCACCATGCCCAGCTGATTTCCATTCTTTTAAAAAATGAAATAACCTGAAAGTCCTCCAGTTACAAAATGCCTCGAAATGCTGTTTCAATACAACAAGCTGTCCTTTAAATGCACAGCTGAGCTGGGAGGAAATTAAGTAAGGAGTGTCTCCAAGGGTCAGTGAGGAAGAGGAACCCAAATAAGCAGGAAGCCATGGCGGGTGGCAGGGGATCCAGCCAGTCTGTGCCCTCCAGGCTGGATGAGGGGTGGGGAAGAGAGTCCAGCCAGTCTGCGCCCTCCAGGCTCGAGGCCGACCATTGTGGGAACAGAATTGTGAGAAATGGGGCTGTGGACCTGACCCAGACCTCTGCATGAAGCTGCAACCTTGAAGGGAAGCATCTTCCGAGGAGTGGGAAAAGCCCATCCCCAACACAGAAGAGAAGAAAGCTCAGCTGTCTCTACCTGTTCTGGGGTGGGACAGTCTTTGGAATTTGCAGCCCTGGGCTGCCTGTGGCCCAGAAGCACCCAAGCTGGGAAACTGACACAGGTGTGCGCCTTAGTACCTGCGGTTTCTGGCAAAAACAAGCGCAAATCCGTCTACAAAAGTGAACCCTCTTCCCAGCTTGATTCATGAATCTCTTGAGGACGAATTCAAGTTGCAAATTTTAAAACACTTTGAGGACGGCCTCAGTGGCTCAGCCTGTCATCCCAGCACTTTGGGAGACCGAGGAGAGTGGATTGCCTGTGTCTGTGGGTTCGAGACCAGCCCGGGCAAATTGGCAAGACCTCGTCTCTACAATAAATAAAAAATTAGCCGGGCATGGTAGCGCGCGCCTGTACTTCTGGCTACTTGGAAGGCTGAGGCAGAAGGATCGCCAGAACCCAGTGGATCAACACTGGGGCGGCCATGAGTGTGCCACTGCACTCCAGCCTGGGCGATGGAGTGAGACTCCAACTCAAAAATAAATAAAAATAAAACACTTTGAAAAACAATCTACCATGTGTGAGAATACATACGACATAAAGCAGGATTAGGTTTCTAAAAATGTCTGATAATAAAATGACCAGACAGAGATGAAAAAAAATGAGTGTTTAAAGTTATAATAGGGATACCCTTCGGATCCCCTCCCACGGTGGGAGCTGGCCTCAATAAATCCTGCTTTCTCACGCACACACACAAAATTAAAATTAAAAAATTAAAAATGAAATAAAGTTGTAATAGACTAGCTGGGTGCAGCAGGTCATGCCTGCAGTTCAGCTACTTGAGAGGCTGAAGCAGGAGGTTCGCTTGAGCCCAGGAGTTCAAGGTCGCAGTGAGCTGTGTCTACTACACCCCTGCACTCTAGTCAGGGCAACAGACAGGGTCTCTAGCATATCAAAAAAATTTAAATAGAATGATGAGGGGGACTCCCTCAACAGAATTTATCTATCAAAACTTGTGTATTTATTCTTACATATTTAAACTTCAAGCCAGGCTCAGTGGCTCAGCCTGCAATCCCGCGCCTTTGGGAGGCTGAGGTGAGTGGATGGCCTGAGCCTGCGGGTTCGAGACCCGCCTGGGCAACTTGGCAAGACCTCATCTCTACAATAAATCAAAATGAGCTGGGCGTGGTAGCGCACGCCTGCAGTTCCAGCTACTTGGAAGGCGGAGGCGAAAGAATCGCCGGAGCTCAGCAGGTCGAGGCTGCGGTGGCCGGGAGCGGCCACTGCACTCCAGTCTGGGCGACAGAGTGAGACTCCAAATCAAAAAAAAAAACTTCAGACACCTTCCCGTTTAATGTAATACATCTATTGAGATGCTTTTTCCGCTACGCAAAACCGTTTTTGAACTCGTCGATTTTGATGGCTTTGGTGCTTCTGCCATTTTTATTTTATTTTATTTTTTCACCTTTTCCACTTTGGCAAAATGCTTCCCTCTGAGGATTTTTTTCATCTGGGGAAACAAACAAAAAAGAGTCACTCAGGGCAAGAACCGGTGAATAGGAAGGGTGGGGTTCAGGGGCCGTGTCCTTTTTGGTCAAAAACTGCTAAACACTCAGTGCAGTGTGGGTGGGTGTGCTCGCCAATCACCCATCATGAAATAGGCAACCATGATGAAAGAATCTCCAAAAAAAAATTCACTGGAGCCGAACGCAGCCTCTCACAACAACACTCGCTGGTACATGGACGCCAATGGGTTCCTAGAACATTTACCTAGTAGAGGAAGCTTGGACTACAAGGGCCTGCCCTTCAACAGATAATTCCAGGTTTTGGAGAGTCCCCCTTTTCCTATAATAGACTAAAAAGCAGGAATTGATAACATGAAAATAAGACATAACAAGGGAGAAGTCTTGAAAAACAGCTTTAAGGAATGAAAATACAGGCCGGGTTCAGTGCCTCAGCCTGGCATCCCAGTACTTCGGGAGGCCAAGGCGAGTGGATTGCCTGAGCCCACGGGTTCGAGACCAGCCTGGGCAACTTGGTGAGACCTCGTCTCTACAATGAATCAAAAAACATCCAGGAGCGGTGGCGCATGCCTGCGGTTCCGGCCACTTGGAAGACGGAGGTGGAAGGATTGCGGGGGTCCAGCAGGTCGACGCTGGGGTGGCCATGAGCGTGCCACTGCATTCCAGTCTGGGCCACGGAGTGAGACTCCAACTTAAAAAAAAAAAAAAAAGAAAGAAATGAAAATACATAGTAAATTAATTGAAAAACTCATTAAAAAACTGATCTGAGAAAATTACTCAAAGAAATAAGGAGGTGAAAAAGTGAGAGACGTGTTCAGAATCATGATAGAATTAGAAGATCCGAAGAGGCATGTCCAGAGAAGAATCCACCCCTGGAGAATTCGACCCTATAGGCAGTGCCTTTCTTTGAATGTCCCCAGAGGCAGACCCTGAGCATTTTGGTGCAGATAATGTATCTGGCAGGGCAGGAAACACAGCCGGGAAAGTGGGAAAGCCATGTGGGGAAGGAGAAGCAACCAATAATAGATGTTTCTGTGGCCAGCCACACAGTGGGCGGCTGACACTTCACCCCGTGACGGAGGTCTGGACAGAGTGGGAGGCACAAACCGCCAAACGCCCCCACTCTTGGGTGGAAGGTAAGGATGTTTCCACACCTGCTCCGTCCTGTCAGATACTACCGGGGATACTCCTGGGGCATTAACTCCTCAGCACTTGTAGCTCTTGACACAGAGTAGCAGAGCCTGGCTGTGAAGAGTCGAGGCCAGAAGTCTGTGGGAGGCCACCGAGGCATCTGGTCTACCCAGTCACATCATCCTTCAGAGTTGAGGGAGCACAAAGACATTTTTTTCAGAAAAATATAAATAACAGTGAGTTTGATGTAAGCAGTCTTTTTTGAAAGAACTACTAAAGAAGGTACTTCAGGAAGAAGGAAATCAAACCAAGAAAGAAGAATGCCAGAAGAAAAAGTAAACAAAGAAATGGAAATGGGTAGATATGTGGGTAAATGTGAGCGGGCAGTGGTTGCATAAAACAGTAACAATAATAACGATCAATTGGGTAATTAAAAAAAAAAGATTCCATCAGTGGCAGCACGTGCAATGGAAGTGAAAGCATGCCAAGGCCCTCATATTGCTCTGAAGAAAGAAAGAGGTAATAACTTAAACCTGGATAAGGCTAGACTGCATGGAAACATTGTAAGGGAGCTTACTAAAAAAATAGACTTGAGGCCAGGCGAGTTGGCTCACGTCTGTAATCTCAGGACTTTGGGAGGCTGAGGCGA